AAAAAAAAAAAAAAAAAAGGAAAAAAGTGATAAAGTGCAGGTAGTCCTCGACTTATAACAGTTCGCTTAGTGACTGTTCGAAGTTACGACGGCACTGAAAAAAGTACCCCCCAAGCTATAGCTGAGCAAGATACGGCGCCTGGCGGCGCTCTTCCTCCTGTCCGAGGTTTCCATTGTTGTGAGCATTTCTGTTGAGGATTGGCAGCGGAGGTGGGGTGGGGGGTGTTTGGTTTTTATTCCCCCCCCCCCGTCTGCTGGGTGGTTGCAGCAGGTTTTGGCCACTTCACATGACCCTGGGACACTGTGACCGTCATAAATATGAATCAGTTGCCAAGCATCTGAATGTAAATCACAAGACCCTGGAGAGGCTGCAACATTCCAGCTGTTCGGCGCGTCTTCCGGGCTCAGCAGAAGCGCCAGGATCAGCACCGAGCTCCAGCTGGAGCCTGGCGCTGATCCTGGCGCTTCCACTGAGCCCTGACAGCCCTGCAGCTCCAGCCATCTCTCGCTCAGGCTTGTGCGGTGCTGCCACCGGTTCAGCTCATTCCCCTCCCCCGCTACCCCTTTTCTAGGATGCTCGCGTACCACCTGCCAGGTGCCAATGTACCACAGGTGGTGCCCGTACCACTGGTTGAAAAGCCCTGCTATAGGGCAGTGATGGCAAACTTTTTAGAGACCCGAGTGTCCAAACTGCAACCCAAAACCCAGTTATGCATCGTCGAGTGCCGGCTGGGTGTGGCCCATTGGGTGGGCGTGGCTGCAGTGGTAACGGCAGACTGGGTGGGACTAAAAAGTTCAATCCATCAATTCCAACTTTGCAAGATCTTTTTTTTTTCCCAGAGAGAAGTTGAAATTGACTGATTGATTGAACCTTTTTTTTTTTTTTTTTAACACAAGGCGGCGGAGGCCTAAAGCGAAAAGTTTTTATAAAACCCAGCTGAAGGCCTAGGAGTGGGGCGACGGCGCGCGTGCCCACAGACAGGGCTTTGAGTGCCGCCTCTGGCACCCGTGCCGTAGGTTTGCCACCACATGTATAGGGTCTCCTGCTCGATCAGGGGGTTGGACTAGAAGACCTCCAAGGCCCCTTCCGGCTCTGTTATTCTATCTTCTTTTTCTGCAAGGATGCTGCGGAAGGACAAAGAGGAGGCAGAAGCTATCAAACACGCCAAAGCCCTGGAAGAAGAAAAGGCCATGTATTCGGTAAGGGAACAGAACTCCGGGCTGTTCTCTTCATGTGACTGAGGGAGGTCATGTCCGATCCTTCTCCCTGCCGACTCGTCTCAAATCCTCCGCGATGCAGGCCACGGCGGATAAACCGGGGAGCGATGACCGGCCCCATCAGAGCCTGGGGCCTTTCTTTGCTCTCTTAGGTCTGCCTTCTCTTCCAGGGCCGTCGCTCCAGGCGGCAAAGGAGAGAATTCCGAGAGAAACGTTTGAAAGGAAGGAAGATCAGCCCTCCAAGGTAGGCCTTGCGGAGGTTTGGCCCGGGCCGCTGTTGGTTGCCCTGGAGTCTCTGGGGGCAGGGTGGTTGGACGTTGCAGGGTCTTTTTCTGCGGGGAGGCAAACCCTCAGCTACCGTTCATACGTTAAGGACCACCTAAGCTAGTCTAAGAAACTTGTGTGATTAGGTTGTGTGACTAGATGACCTTCAAGGTTTGATGTTGTTGTTGTTGTTGTTGTTGTTGTTGTTTCTTCTTCTTCTTCTTCTTCTTCTTCTTCTTCTTCTTCTTCTTCTTCTTCTTCTTCTTCTTCTTCTTCTTCTTCTTCTTCTTCTTCTTCTTCTTCTTCTTCTTCTTCTTCTTCTTCTTC